TTATATTCTTTCTATCCTCACTAGGTTTTTCCTTCCACATGAATTTTATTTTTTTCTTTTTTAAATTGAGGTAACAATGGTTTATAACATTATATGAATTTCACATGTACAACATTATATTCCTACATTCTATAATACACATTATATTTCTGTATATGCTGCAGCATGTGCCGCACCAAAAACTTAGTTTAACTAAGTTGTAATAGACTGAAACTTAAAATAAAAAATGCAATAACCTAGCAAAGTCAATTTGACTTTAATTTCTGAGCTGGTGTTTTATTTCAACTCAGTGTCCAGCACAGTTCCTGGCACATAATAACTAGGTGTCCAATAAATATGGAAGAAAAATGAAAAGCAAAGGGAAGAGCACATTAGGAGGGTGGGGGATGGACTGGTGTGAGTGCTGCTTCAAAGGTCATTCAAATTCAGATATACTCTGTTACATATTCACCTCATCAAGTCAAAGACCCTTCAAGACAAGGATAACTCTTCACTCCTCCTCCACCTGCTCCTTCGATCCTTGTGCAGTCCAGCTGTGAGCCCACTAGTCCTCTGGGCACCTCAGAGCACCACTCACCTTAACTCCTTTGCCCTATGAACTGAGTTCCGCCTCTGCAAGAATGTGTTACACACATCGGAAGACACAGGAACAGAATACTTTGTTCCATGGAGATAGAACTTCTCCTTTTTGAATGAAAGTATAAGTCAAGGCAGTCTAGCCACATGGTCGTGCAGTGTCTAAGATGTTAGCAAGATGGAGGTCAATCCACATGCCTGTCCTTGCTAACTCGAATCAGACACCATTTTCCTCACCTCAAAAACCAGACACTGGGTTTCCCTGGTGGCGCAGTGGTTGAGAGTCCACCTGCCGATGCAGGGGACATGGGTTCATGCCCCGGTCCAGGAAGATCCCACATGCCGCGGAGCGGCTGGGCCCGTGATCCATGGCCACTGAGCCTGCGCTTCCGGAGCCTGTGCTCCACAACGGGAGAGGCCACAACGGTGAGAGGCCCGCGTACCGCAAAAAAACAAAACAAACAAAAAAAACCAGACACCATCTTCACATCACAGACAGGACTAGAGCCCAAGCCTACTTAACCACACAGACTTTCACTAGGGCTCACAGTGTCCCATAGGAGACAAGACTGTTGTCAGGCAGCTGCTGAAAGGGCAGCCCTCACTTTACAGAACCCAGAACTTAGGAAGAATTCCTCAAGTTTCCAGTCTCAGCCTTAAAGCTGGTTCTCAGTGCCCAATGGAATGAAAGCTCCACGTGGACCTTGTCTGCGTTGTTCATGGCTGAACCTTCAGTGCCTTAGAACAGTACCTGGTACAAAGTAGACAGACAGTAAATATGCGTTGGTTCTGTTGATGAATGTCTCATGCCTTGTTCAGAGATGCTCTGCTTCCCAGAGTCACTGCTCTTTGGTTTGTGCATTACAAACGTTAATGAGTAGTGTCTACTGTACTTTAGAATCACTCTCAGAATATGAGCAAAAAAGTACACAGGGCTGAAACGGGACTAATAAAAAAAAGCCAAGGGCACTGGAGAAACACTTCAAAGACAGAGTGAAATATTGTTCCAATATATGTTCCAATCCAAAGGCAGTTATGGCAGAACGAATGCCCTCCCCAAAGCAGTCCACACCCTAATCTCTGGAACCTGTCAATCAGTTACTTCACCTGGTAAAAAGTACTTTACAGATGTAAAACGTAATGAATGTTAAAATAGGGAGATTATCCTAGATTATCTGGATGGGTTCAGTCTAATCACATGAGCCCTTAAAAGCAAAAAACTTTCAGGCTGGAAGCAGGGAGATGTAGCAGAAGGAAAAATCAGATTTAAAGCATGAGAGGGGCTCAAACCACTGTGGCTGGGGAGGGACAATATGAAAAGCACGAGAAGGAATGCTGGCAGCCTCTATGAGTAAAGACCAGCCCCCAGCTGACATCCAGGAAGAAAACAGGGACCTCAGTCCTACAACTTCAAGGAACTGAAATCAGCTACCAATCCGAATGAGCTCAGAAACAGATTCATGTTCAGGGCCTCCAAAAAGGAATACAGCCCTGTGAACACCTTGATATGCAAAATTCATACCTTCATTTTATGCAAGGTATAACCAAGGCATAAACAAATAATCTACAGGATAAGAAGCCTTGGCAATACCTAAGCAAAGAATGCAATTTTTCATTGAAATATTCTTCAGGATTACTTTGCTTGGTATGACTGATTTCTAACACTGATTTATAAAAGAAAATTTCTACCTTACCAGCCACTGCTTTCAGCATATAATTTATATTACTCATATCAATTAAATTATTAACTTCTATTTATTGAGCATCTAATGTGTGCCAGGCCTTATGCCAGGCTCTTCATATACCTGAGCAATAGTCACAACCAAGGGTAAACTACGTTATCTGTAGGTAAAAGCCTCATTATCTGAGGCTTACAGAATCTAATGTATCCAAGGTCCCACAGCTGGTAAAATGCTGAGGCAGAATTTGAACCCAGATGCAGATGACCCCAGGCCTACACCCTTTCTACTCTGCCACACTTCCCCACTTCTGTCAAAATACTGAGGTCCAAGTGGTCATCAGGGAACTGAAGGAGACCCAGGAGAAAGTGTCAGAATACTTTGGCTGAAAAAGAGAGAAATAGCCACATCAAAAAAAAAAAAAAAAAAAGAAAGAAAGAAAGAGAGGAGAAATGTTTCAAAACATGTCTCTCCTCAAAATCCACTTTTAGTACAGAAACACGTGCGGACAGAACAGTTTCTCTCCCCTCCCCCGCAATGTTGGTTGCTGCTCCTGTTGTATATCTTGGCGCAATTAACTGCCCATGTGCAACGAGGTGTCATGGAACATCCATTTACCATCACCCATGTCAAAATTCCACCCAAGTGGCAGAAGCAAAAGGCTGCTTAATGTCAATCAAGTATCAACCCCAGTGCTCCAATTAAGGCACCGCTGTAAGAGTCACATTTCAAAATGTTTGGAAGTCACTTCATCCCAGAGGTATCCCCTAAAACATCTTTACACAGAGCCATCCTGGCCACTCATTATGCTCTAATTCAAGAGCCCCATTTTCTGATTTTAGGGAGATCTCACAGCAACAGCTGACAGGCAGGAGCAGAACCTGAGATGCTCCTATGCCCGAGAGATGGGCAGGAAGCATATGGCAGCTACCCTAATCAACACCCGCCGTGAACCAACTGGTCTACAAGGCACAAACACAGCATGACAGGATGCGCTGTGATGTAGCTGACAGTTTTGACAGTGCATTTCCATGTCCTCGATCACGCTAATTTTCCCAACTAGGGAGAGATTTTCAAGTTGAACCCTAAGCTGCTGATTGTCAGATTATGAAGGCTGTACTATCATTCTACTTAGAGCATAATTCAGACATTACATAATTAGAGGGATTTTACTGGGTTGTGTACACAATAGGTGTTTAATGAGTAAACAGAAGTGAAACAATGAATGGGCACCAGAATAAATTACTATGTCTTCTAAAAGCACCCATCTTTCCAAAGTCTGAATCATCCCAGCTGAAAGGGTGAACATTTCGATCTTGTTGTGAAATAAAGCAAAACAGCCAGAACAGTCCAAGGAAATGGTCTACCATTTGTAACAACCTTTGACCCTCTGTCTCACGATGAAAAAAGTGCCAACAGGCTGCAAGTGTCTTCACAGATGAGCTTATCTGGTTATTTAGACCAGTTATCTGGGGCTGCAGACATCTCCATACAGAAACATATCTTACTAAAATTATACTCTAGAAATATTACCAGTGGAATCATAGAGCAATGAAAATAACTCAGTACATTTTCAACCACTGAAACAGAAAATACTATTTCTGGAATAAAACAAAAACAGATCTTAAGCATTAGGCCTAAGCCCTTCACACTGACGGGATTACCATCAACCCTGCCACAGAAGCATCCAAAAGTCACAGTCTGACTACGACCTTCACCTCAGGCAGAAGCTACAGCATCAGAGCGTCAAGCTGGACACAAGGACTCCCTGATGGTCAGTCAAGAGTGTAAAACCCTGGCATGTGTTTCTAAGGAATATTCTAGGGTATCATCCAGGTACAGGGTCCAGAAACAGAACCTTCTTAGTTCCCCAGGAGGGCCCATCTTTCTCTAGAGAAATCATGGTGTGCAAAGTCTCAGAGGATTCCAATTTCTTTCTATTATAATGAGGAACATCTCTTTCCAGGCACATCCTTCTTCTAGGGCTTTTTCCCTGGTTTTAAAAGAAACTACTGACAAATCAGAGAGTTCTGTGGTGAGTAGGAAACCTGAACACTGAATGCTAAAGGATGTTGTTCAAGGGGCATTTCACCAGAGCTCCAAGGAAACCCAAAGAAAGATACCTGTTCTGGAACAAGACATAACACACAGATGACCAGAATGCTCAGACTCATCCCTATTGTTGGATGTATTCTCATGGACTGCTTCTCTGAACTAGTGATTCCCAGCTGATGGACTGGGCTTTCTTGGGATTATTTTTTTCTGTGAATGCAATTTTGTCATTGATTAAGCTAATTATTGAGTGTGCTCCCATCCAATTCCAGGGTTTTCCCACTGAGACATCTCAATGTCTCCTTTCTGATAGGCTTTTAAAAGTGAATAGATATCCATCTTCCCATCAATGGTTTTGAGAATTTTTTTAAAAAATCTGTGGAGTTCCTTCTTCACATGAACCCTTTCAATATTAAAAACCATAAAAAAGGAGGTTTTCTCTGATTGAAACAGGCACAAGGGACCTTAGACTTGGACTCAGAGCCACACCCTACTTGCTCTTCCCCCATTTACTCTTGGAGAGGTGGCCCAAAAGTTTGAAAGGACAGTTAGAATACCACTGAGCCAAATTATGTCTCCAACTCCCAGCCAGCACTATATTTCTACAAAAACAAAGTCACGTTGCCCAAGGAAAAATGTCACATTCCAAAAGTATTAGTGCTTGAAGCTTCTCCACACAGCAATCCTACTCACCAAGATCGGCTTCAGAATGTCCAGGTTGGAATGAAGTATTTGCTCTGCTGCATCCAGTTTCTCCTTTGGCAGGCTGCAAAGCATGGAGACTTCTTGGTCACCAAGTTGAATCAGCTCTCCTAATTTTGATCCATTGCACAGATTGGTCAAATGTAACTGGTAGCCTTGCAAAAATACCTGGAAGCATTTCATGCAAAGAGAGAGAAGCAAAACTGGATTACAAAGATGGGAAGTAGGGTCCTTGAAGCCTTTTGGGGGACTTCACATCAATACAGCTTTGAAGAATGGACACTGCTGGACTCTATCCAGTGCACAGGGTCTCTACTGAACTTTAGGATGCGTCAAGGCATGATCCTACAGGACATTAAAACCGGAATGTGGCATTTGACTTATCACCTCCACACTCTTGTCCTTGTGAGGGGAAATCCTGAGTCCAACTCTTTTTCTCAAAAGTGGGACACGTGATTCACCCAGTAGGAATCTGGAGTCTGAATTCCTAAAACCACTTTTATTAAAGAAAATAGAAAATTCTCACTATTTTGGAATGCATGATATCTTAACCTGGGGTTGGGCTGAATTATGAAAAAAGGCATTTATACTATTTATTTGTAGATACAGATATTTAGCTGATGCAAAGAACTATGTTCAAACAATTTCAGAATGTGGAACTCTTCCTTTTACTTGTATCAGAGCACAGTACTAGAAAGTCAAGCCCCTTACCTCACTGATAGGCCAGTTCTAAGTCTTTTTGGGTTTCTTTTAATCTTTATTTATTTATTTTCTTATTAGTCATCCATTTTATACACATCAGTGTATACATGTCAATCCCACTCTGCCAGTTCATCACACCACAACCACCACCCCATGCCGCTTTCCCCCCTTGGGGTCCATACGTTTGTTCTCTACTCTGTGTCTCAATTTCTGCTCTGCAAACCAATTCATCTGTACCATTTTCTAGGTTCCACATATATGCATTAACATACGATATTTGTTATTCTCTTTCTGACTTACTTCACTCTATATGACAGTCTCTAGATGCATCCACATCTCTACAATTTCATTCCTTTTTATGGCTGAGTAATATTCCATTATATATATGTACCACATCTTCTTTATCCATTCGTCTGTCGATGGGCATTTAGGTTGCTTCCATGTCTTGGCTATTGTAAATAGTGCTGCAATGAACATTGGGGTGCACGTGTCTTTTTGAATTATGGTTTTCTCTGGGTATATGCCCAGTAGTGGGATTGCTGGGTCATATGGTAGTTCTATTTGTAGTTCTTTAAGGAACCTCCATACTGTTCTCCATAGTGGCTGTATCAATTGACATTCCCACCAACAGTGCAAGAGGGTTCCCTTTTCTCCACATCCTCTCCAGCATTTGTTGTTTATAGATTTTCTGATGATGCCCATTCTAATCGGTGTGAGGTGATACATCATTGTATCTTTGATTTGCATTTCTCTAATAATTAGTGATGTTGAGCAGCTTTTCATACGCTTCTTATGTCTTCTTTGAAGAAATGTCTATTTAGGTCTCCTGCCCATTTTTGGATTGGGTTGTTTTTTTCATATTGAGCTGCATGAGCTGTTTATATATTTTGGAGATTAATCGTTTGTCCGATGATTCATTTACAAATATTTTCTCCCATTCTGAGCGTTGTCTTTTCCTCTTCTTTACAGTTTCCCTTACTATGCAAAAGCTCTTAAGTTTCATTAGATCCCATTTATTTTTTTTATTTCCATTACTCTAGGAGGTGGATCAAAAAATATCTTGCTGTGATTTATGACAAAGAGTGTTCCTCCTATGTTTTCCTCTAAGAGTTTTATAGTGTCTGGTCTTACATTTGGTCTCTAATCTATTTTGAGTTTATTTTTGTGTATGGTGTTAGGGAGTGTTCTAATTTCATTCTTTTACATGTAGCTGTCCAGTTTTCCCAGCACCACTTTTTGAAGAGACTATGTCTTTTCTGCATTGTATATCCTTGCTCCCTTTGTTATAGATTAGTTGACCATATGTGCATGGGTTTATCTCTGGGCTTTCTATCTTGTTCCATTGATCTATGTTTCTGTTTTTGTGCCAGTACCGTATTGTCTTGATGACTGTAGCTTTATAGTATAGTCTGAAGTCAGGGAGTCTGATTCCTCCAGCTCCGTTTTTTTCCCCTCAAGACTGCTTTGATTATTCGGGGTCTTTTGTGTCTCCATTCAAATTTTAAGATTTTCTGTTCTAGTTCCGTAAAAAATGCCATTGGTAATTTGATAGGGATTGCATTGAACCTGTAGATTGCTTTCGGTAGTATAGTCATTTTCACAATATTGATTCTTCCGATCCAAGAACATGGTCTATCTCTCCGTCTGTTGGTATCATCTTTAATTTCTTTCATCAGTGTCTTATAGTTTTCTGCATACAGGTCTTTTGTCTCCCTAGGTAGATTTATTCCTAGGTATTTAATTCTTTTGGTTGTAATGGTAAATGGGAGTGTTTCCTTAGTTTCTCTTTCAGATTTTTCATCATTAGTGTATGAGAATGCAGATTTCTGTTTTTTTTGCAGTACGCGGGCCTCTCACTGTTGTGGCCTCTCCCGTTGTGGAGCACAGGCTCCAGACGCGCAGGCTCAGCGGGCATGGCTCATGGGCCTAGCCGCTCCGTAGCATGTGGGATATTCCCGGACCGGGGCACGAACCTGTGTCCCCTGCATCGGCAGGTGGACTCTCAACCACTGCACCACCAGGGAAGCCCCTCTGTGCATTCATTTTGTATCCTGCAACTTTACCAAATTCATTGATTAGCTCCAGTAGTTTTCTAGTGGCATCTTTAAGATTTTCTATGTATAGTATCATGTCATCTGCAAACAGGGACAGTTTTACTTCTTTTCCAGTTTGTATTCCTTTTATCTCTTTTTCTTCTCTGATTGCCATGGCTAGGACTTCCAAAAATATGTTGAATAAAAGTAGTGAGAGTGGACATCCTTGTCTCATTCCTGATCTTAGAGGAAAAGCTTTCTGTTTTTCACCATTGAGAATGATGTTTGCTGTGGGTTTGTCATATACGGCCTTTATTATGTTGAAGTAGGTTCCCTCTATGCCCACTTTCTGGAGAGTTTTTATCATAAATGGGTGTTGAATTTTGTCAAAAGCTTTTTCTGCATCTATTGAGATGATCATATGGTTTTTATTCTTCAATTTGTTAATATGGTGTATCTCACTGATTGAGTATATTGAAGAACCCTTTCATCTCTGGGATAAATCCCACTTGATCATGGTGTATGATCCTTTTAATGTGTTGTTGGATTCTGTTTGCTAGAATTTTGTTGAGGATTTTTGCATCTATATTCATCAGTGGTATTGGTCTGTAATTTTCTTTTTTTGTAGTGTCTTTGTCTGGTTTTGGTATCAGAGTGATGGCAGCCTCATAGAATGAGTTTCAGAGTTTTTCTTCCTCTGCAATTTTTTGGAAGAGTTTGAGAAGGATGGGTGTTAGCTCTTCTCTAAATGTTTGATAGAATTCACCTGTGAAGCCATCTGGTCCTGGACTTTTGTTCGCTGGAAGATTTTTTGGGGTTTTTTGGGGTTTTTTTTTTGCGAAACACGGGCCTCTCACTGTTCTGGCCTCTCCCATTGTGGAGCACAGGCTCCGGACACAGAGGCTCAGCGGCCATGGCTCATGGGCCTAGCTGCTCCGCGGCATGTGGGATCTTCCTGGACCAGGGCACGAACCCGTGTCCCCTGCATCAGCAGGCGGACTCTCAACCACTGCGCAACCAGGGAAGCCCTCACTGGA